GCAGGAATGGCGGTGATGTGAAATTGTTTGGTAAGATACTCAGCAATCCCTTGTCTGTACACAACCACTGTGAGAATGAAGAAAACGAAGGGAGTCATGAGCACAATTCAAGCAACAAGCCATCTAACACAAAGTTCATTAACCTCCACAATTTGGATGGAAGTTCTGCCATCCTGAAATTTGATCGAAATAATTATTTGGGCCTTGATAATGTTCAAATGAGGAGCTACACCTACTGGGATGGGAACAGATTACAAGCTGCATTTCCGTCTCTGCCTGATTCGGCAATTTTGCTGGCCAAGTATCCTGCTGCATTCAGTAATTTTCCTACATCTTCCAAGATGGAACAGCAGCAGCAATTGCAGGCAGTTGCCAAGAGCAATGAACGGAATGTGAATGGCGTATCAGTTTTTCCCACCAGAGACATAAGTAGCAGCAATGGGATGGTGGATTATCAGGTGTATAGGAGCCGAGATGCTCCTATGGTGCAGCCATTTACGGTAGATGTGAAGCCACGGCAAGACATGTTTTCTGAGATGCAGAGACGGAACGGCATTGAAGCACTGGCAAATTTTCAGCATCAAGGAATGGGGATGGTTGGAATGAATGTTGTTGGGAGGGGAGGAGGGATAGTTGTTGGCAACGGGGCGTGCACAACGGGTGTTTCAGATCCCGTTGCGGCACTTAAGTTGCACTTTGCAAAAACCGATCAGTATGGGGGGCAGAGTAGCAGCATCATCAGAGAGGACGAGTCTTGGAGAGGGAAGGGGGACATAGGCAGGTAGTAGGAGATATGTGTTGTTGTCCTTAGTTGGTCTTCAGAAGGAGGCTGCCCTTTTGAGCGGCAAATTTCTTTGATTGCCGCACCCTGTATTATATAGTTTTTGTATTGTTCAATGAAATGATAGGGCAATAGATGGGTTCTCTCAGGTTTGTCTTTTTTTGGTTAAAAAATATCTTACTCGTAGGTGCTTGTAATATTCCAGCAGCTTTTCTATTTGTTGTATTTGATGCAAAAAGTTACAGAAAATAATCTGTGAAAGTCGGGGGAGGGTTTATTTGGTTTGCGACCATCTTGATCGCCCTCTCTACCTTAACCTAACAAAAACAAATATGGTCTCCTTTCCTTGCTTTTTGAGATTTTTCTTTTGGCGTTATGCATTTGTGGCCCTTATTTATCTGGTAGAGATTGTTTTCTCTCTGATTTAATAGTCAACTGAGGCAGTGTGCATTCTTCATATGTTTTCGTCCTATCTTGAAGTTAATTATATTGGCATGTGCTTATCAGAGTTTTCACAAAATTTTCTACGCGTTATTTTGTCTATAACCCTCAAGTCCTTTTTTCAACTCTAGAGTTGAAAAAAGGACATCAAGAAATGCTTTTTCTCGGCACAAAACACACCTATCAATTCTCTTTAGTTCTTGCTGACTTTTTTTCCTTTGCGTTTTTTTTTTCCCCCCCTCGAAGCATAAAAAGACAAGAATTTAGATGAACTGTCATAATCAGGACACTAGGCAGCACATGCACAATCACATGGTGCACGCATGAAGAGCATTATCCTTCTTTAAATTGATTATTATAAATTCAAATGCCACAGCGAGCACGCAAAGTCTTTTCAACTTACAAAAGGAAGTGTTCGTTGTAGGGCAAGAATCAAATGAGCCTCGCTGCGTAACTGCTGCCAACTAAGTACAAGCTGTTTATAAAGCTCCTGCTAAATGACGCTCGTTTCTTGTGCTTCTTGCCGAGTCCAAAGGACGGGTGGAAGAGGTGCTGTGATCTCAATTACCTGCAAATGGCACAAGAGTAGAAGGGTTTTCTATTTCTTTTCTTTTTCTAATGAACTAATTTCACTGGATGAACTGAAAAAGGAATAGGAACTCATGAGAAGGAGCGACAAAAGAAGGTCCCAAGCAAAATAAGAGAAGATCCCTACGCTGATTAGCAGTGACGGAGCTATGATAGGTAGGGGGCTTTTTTTTTGTTTTTTTTTATATCAAGATTATACTAATGTTTATGGACTTAATAAAATTGAATATTTTATTTTTTTAAAATTGAAATGAGTGGCCTAATAAAATGTAGAAAATTATTAATTTATGGGGACCAAGTCCAAGTTATACACATATCTATTATATTAAAATTAAAATTACTATAATAAAAAAAAGGGGGGAAAAAAAAAGCTCGGGGGGGGGGGGGGGGGAGTTTGTTACCATTTCAACAATTATCAAGAATAAAGAAATAAAGAAAAAAAATGATCATTTCATCTTTACCCGCATCTTTTATAAACAAAGACGAAGTAAATTTACATTCACAAATAGTAGGTCAAAATCAGACGCATCTCTGATGTTCTGTGCTCAACAGGGCCAACAAATATAGTCATCCAATATTAATAGATACCACATATACCATGCACTCACATAGAAGTAGCGTTGATGTTTAATGCACAATCTTGTGTTTACCTCATTGGTTGTTGGATGAGACAGAGAAACGTGGTGAGCATGCAAAGTATAGCCACAGTCTCCGGGGACAGGTTTTGCAGGCCTCGGAAACCCTCTACAAGCGAAAACAAAGGGGATTGCAATTTAAAATGGAACATTAAACATATTTAGGATGTCATCGTATGTTCCTTTATTATTATTATTTTTTACCCCACACTTTTGTCAAATCAATGACGACAGTCCGAGATTCATGTTAGTTTACAAATAGTGAGGAAGCAAAAAAAAAAAAAAAAGCGAGCGGATAAAAGAGATACTGCTACTATTACAAGCTCCTATGTTCCATAATTTCTTAAGAGTTTGTGACCAAGGCTGTTTTCTAAGTTTTGCTGCCAGCCATAAATATGATATATAGTAATTAAGAAAATAGAAATTATGTAGAAAAAATAATATAATATGCTCTAATATATGATAGAACAACCATAACTATCCTGCTAAAATAAAAAAGGAAAAAGAAATACCCATCTTGTGCAAAACTGCCATCCACAAATTCAGGATCAAAGCAACGAGGTCTCCCACCAACAACATAAAGAGGGTCACCTGTTAAAAGGCAAAAGGTCAAGGTTAATTCATCTGGAGGACTTTAGGCGGCAACAGGAGAAGAAGATTTACAATACGCACAAGTTAAAAAATTACCTAGTAGGGGATGTCCAATGAAAGAAAGATGGATGCGGATTTGGTGTGGTCTTCCTGATTGAATCTCAACCTGTCAGACACACATAATCCAAAAAAATGAGGAATTCAAAGTATAAGAAAAGCACACGCATAAAATATTGAAACATCACGCGGTATACCTTGACCAACGTGCAGTTTTTTTCTACGTCTCTCTCTAGGACTTCAACCTTGCTAAGAGCTGGTTTTCCTGAATACGTCAAAGATAACGAGAATGGATTATCGTTAATGAAAAAGAGAAAAAAAATTGTGAGAGACCAATGTAAAAGTCTTGATAAGTATAAACAGTAAGCAGTTCTGACAACTTTTTAAGCATCGTTCAGCTTCTGGAGAATTTACTGCTTAAAATAATAATAATAATAATAAGGGGGGCAAAATGTGAAAAACCTGAGGGAGAAGCAACATACAGCCCTTTAGCCACACCAGGATACTGCACTGTTCCTATTGGCTGCTCGACAATCACCTGAAGTAATTTTTGAATTAGTCAAGCTACTAATATCAATTGATGCAGGAAATATTTTTGAGGTGCCAACAAAAACGCTTTAAACAAGGGAAAACCACGTCTCTCAAGAGAATCATTACAGTAAACTGAAACTTAAAGGTAAAGAATCGAAAGTGTTTAGCTAATGTAGTAAAACTAAACTTTAAAGATGTCTATTGATTACGACTTAAAAGAATTTATCCACGGAATGAATTTTTTTTTTTTTGGTGGAAAAAAAAAAGTTAATCTACCAATGCTAGAGAAGAGTAGTTAAAGTACACTCCTCAACTTTAGCAACGTCCTTTTGGGTTAATCGTATGGTTACTAATTATCCCGTTGATTTTGAGTTGAATCTTTCTTTGTAAAGGAGGTTTCTTTTTCTTTTTTCTTTTCTTTTTTTGTTGAAAAGTTGTTGGAGTTTTCTGTAGATTAATCAGTGAAGAGATGGAGGAAACGTGTAACCTTCTATGAGTTATAGACCATTAATGTGCATAATCTATGAAGCTTAGTAACTCAGAATTGCAGTCATGGAAGCAGAGAGTTAACAGGAGGGAAAAGACGGGGAAGGTGCTTGTGCAAAACGACCAAGGAAATTACCTTATCCTCACAAACTATCCCAGTTACTAGTGCCCGGTATATCTTCAAAATTTTCCTTCTTGCATTGAGCTCCAAATTGTTTTTACTGCATCCATTCTAAATTTTGTCAGTAAAGCCAAGCAGCTATTGATGTCCAACATAGATGATAAACAAACAACTATCGAGTTCATAGCTATTAATTGGCTTTAAGGAAATATACATCAATTGTCAGTTAAAATCTTATCATGATTAATAAGTAAACAGGTCGGTTTCTCTTAACCTGTTGCCTCCAACATAAGATGTCCCATCAGCAAAATACGCTGCCAGCTGAGTTTTGGCAAATTTTGTCTTTGCACAAAGCAATATTCCTAGAACCAAATCAAACCAATTAGCCAGGAAAAGTAACAAGTGAGAATCATATCAAATGGTCAAACAATTGGAAGAATAATAAACTGATTAATTCATTGACTTCATTCTTTCAGTTAACATAGTCTACGAGAGGAGCAGGCATATACTAATTAGCATTGATTGTTAACTTGTTCCACTTGGATATTGCGATAATGAAGTTTACGCATCTCATGTAGGGGCCAGGGCCATCTGTCTTAACAAGCTGAGCACAATAATTAAAGGCATAATTTGACCTGAAGTGCCCCTTCCGAGGCGATGAACAGGAACAGGGTTTGGTTCACAGCACACCAGAGAAGAGCTCTGCTTGGTTGCCCGCCATTGGAGCTGTGTTAGAACTGTTCGTTGCTGAAAAAGACCTCCAGGTAATACTTGCAGCTCAGATGGCTTGTCTAGAGCAATCTGAATATAGAATTACCAATCTCGTCAAGAAGAAATAGCAGACACAGAGAAGAGCAATGACAAACAATTGTATAACTTATAGAGATGGAAATTACAGAAAATTCTGCTCACACATTTTTTTTCCTCATCTTTTTCCAAAAAGCCATTCTAGTACTATACTTGCTTGCAGATTTGAATTGTTGGAAGATAAAAGAAATTAAAGATAATTTCTCAAACACTCCTAAAAACCAAAAGTAGGGACTCCAAATAATGTCAAGACAACACAATGCAACATCATTCTTTGACATGAAACAAAAAAGAAGCCAATACGCCACGAGTTCCATATCCGTAATAGCAAACACATTTTTTTTTTTTTAATGTTGTTACCATCACCTAAGAGAGTTTACCATGTCACCATCTTCGTATAGAATCTCGAGAATGTACGGCGCGCCGGGCTCCTTCCACGGAAGTCTATGATAGACCAGTTCCGAACCAATGCTATAAAATTCAATAAAATCAAGATACACAAAAGAATCCATTAAAGTAATACAACAACCAATGTGAGCTAAGAAAAGCAAGCAATTTCCATCAACAAAGAACCTGAGGATCGTATCGGGATCTCTAACAACTCTGCCATTAACTGTTATCTGCAAATAAATTGAACTCAAAATCACACAACAAGAGTGCTTTTGCAGCAAAAGAATTATCAAAATTTTATCTTTTAATTATCGCACCTGCCCGTTCCGAATTCGCTGCAACCAACTGCACAATAATCAGTTAACTATGAAAAAAAAAATCAATTGCTTGCCTTTTAGTCAATTTAATTCCTCAAAATCATTTCTTTGATAGTGTTTCGTTGACACTCAAATTAAAGCATGTTTACTGATCAACCAAACAGACGAATTAGAAAGAAGTAGAATTTGGAAAAACCTACCCTTGAAGCGGAGCTGAATTCTTGTATTTTCTGGAGTAGAACTGGATCAGTGTCGATTCTGTACATTAAACAAGCACGTTAATTTGTGTCAAGCGATAGATACAGATAAAAAGAGACATAAAGATATGGATTTTAGTTCTTTATTATTTTTTTCTTTGGTCAAATTTTCGCGGCAACCAAACAGATCAAAGTGAGAGAAAAGAAACGAAAGCAGAGGAGGGGAGAAGAGAGAGAGAGATAAAAGGGAACCGGAATCGGAGGTTCGAACGACGTCGCTGTAGAACAAGCCGTCGTTGAGTTCGGGCCAAGAGAATCCGAATCTCAGAGCCTGAGCTCTTTCAGAAGAAGAGTTCGACATTGGCGACAGATAACGGGAAAGCCAGCCGAAGAGGCCGTACGACAATGATAAATGGTTTATTTTCCAGTCGTTTTCTCTATCTGTTTTTTTTTTTTCTTTTTTTTTTAAGAGAGAAAAAATTACGAATTTTGGAAAGTCTCTGTAGCATGTGCTTTTTCAACATGGCTGCTATTCGTGACGATTTAATAAGCGCCGGTTTAGTTCAATAATTTTAATTTTTAATATAAGTTAAGATATAATTTTATATAAGAATTTTTTTATTATAGTAAAAAAATTAAATTTGATTAATTTTAAGAGTTTTTTTTATTATAATAAATTTAAATTTTAAATTCGAATCGGTAAAATAAATGAGACTTAAACTGTAATTACAGTAAAATAAGAATAACGACTGTAATTATCAAAAAAAAAAAAAAAAAAGAATAGCCACTGCGCATCATCAAGAAAGCCACATCATCTAGTTGGACAGATCAAATCAAGATAATCAGCCCCTGTTTAGTTGGTGGTTAGAATTGTAGTTATTTATTTTGAATTGTAGAATTTAAAGGATCGGTATTTAAATAGGTAAATAAATTATAATTTAAATTGAGATAATTTTTAAGAAGGTATGAGTCGAACGTTTATTATCAAGAGTAAAAAATAAAATCTTGATTCATGCAATTTGAAGAAGTATTTGATAAGATTACCTAATATAATTTTATTGTTAGACCAAATAATTATAATATATTTATACATTTAATAGACACACACATCCACGTATATATATGACATACCTTACAAAAGTGAAATGTGGGATCCTGAACCCCATCATATGAACAATCATCAACCGATGGAAGTTGGTGTTCTGAACAAAACACGATAAGTTGAAGTGGATTTTTTAAGTCTTCTAGCCTCATTTCGAATTCGAATCCTTAATCTCAAAACGTCTTCACCGAGTCAAATCGTTAACAACCTCTTGGGGAGAATATATATAGGGCCGGCGTTGCCAACTATCAACAGGCCCATACCATAAATGTCTCACAATTGAAAGCAAGTCGGCGGCACAGACCGTCCAACAAATCTCTATTTACCAAAAAATAATAAACAAATAAATAAATAATTATAGCATTAAAAGAAAATCACTATCTACAATAAGCAAGAAGATATGACCCTTGATTATTAATAGGCAACAAGTTAGTGAGAATTTGTGATCTCCAGTCCATTTTACTTAGGCATCGTTCAATTCGTTGATTCAAGTTTTTAATTTGAATTGAGATGTGGATTTATGTAAGAGCTTTTTACTGTAGCAGAAAAAGTTAGATGTGACTTTGTGAGAGCTTTTAACTGTAGCAAAATTAAAATTAAAAACTCGAATCGGTAAAATAAACGAGGTCTTAGTTTGAGAGAAAAAGCTGTGTGGGGAGATGGAGAAGGTCTCAGGCTACAAATGAAAAGGGTTTCAATTTTAGGGTTTAAGATCAAGAAGGCATATGCAAATGATCACTAGTGAGATTATTTTCTGTTGTCAATAGGATTGGATAAAAAAACATGACAAAATTAAGCGAGTAGTCAATTTTGCCTACCCTTTTAATAAAAGATGCGTAAATTATAGCATAATTTGATATTTTAAGTTTTAAATATTATTAAAAATTTAAAAATACCCCTAAACTTCCTTTTCCACCTCACTTATCCCCGTAAGCATCTATTTTCTAAAAAATAGTAAATTATAGCATATATATTTTTTTAAATAGGTAGATTATAGTCAAGTCCACCATGGCCGGGACCGGCGGCCGACAGCCGGCTTCGGCGATTAGCTCTGGCAACTTGCGACCGTTTTGGCATTTTCTAACGATCGATGACCGTTTTTCGATGACTGTTTAACACTATATTTACCGGTAAATACTGTATTTACCATTTAATACTTTATTTACTAATAAATACCATATTTACTCGAAAAGCCAACCACCGACTCCAGTGACCGTTTAGCGCTGTATTTACAGGTAAATAACGTATTTACCAATATAAATACTATATTTACTAGTAAATATCATATTTATCTGAAAATTTGGCCACCAACTCCGGTGACTGTTTAACACTGCATTTACCACTAAATATCATATTTACTAGTAAATAGTATATTTATCTAAAAATTTAGGCACCGACTTCAGCGACCGTTTAACACTATATTACTAGCAAATATCATATTTACCGGTAAATCCGTAATTACTAGTAAATATCATATTTATTTAAAAATTCAGCCACCAACTCCGGCGACCATTTAACACTGTATTTACCGATAAATACCGTATTTACGAGTAAATATTATATTTATCTGAAAATTCAGGCACCAACTCCAGCGACCATTTAACATTATATTTACTAGTAAATACCGTAATTACTAGTAAATATTATATTTATCTAAAAATTCGGCCACCAACTCTGATGACCGTATAACACTGTATTTACCGGTAAATAACGTATTTACTAGTAAATATCATATTTATCCAAAAATTTATCACCTACTCCGACAATCGTTTAACACTGTATTTGTCAGTAAATACCGTATTTACTAGTACTTATCATATTTATCTGAAAAATCTATCACTCACTCCGGTGATCGTTTAACATTATATTTACCGATAAATACTATATTTATCAGTAAATATCGTATTTACCTAATAATTCAACCATCGATGACTAAGGACCAGCAACTAGTAAATATGATATTTACCCTTATTTACTCGAAAATCGAGCAATTCAAAAATTAGTGGCATCGGAAACTTGATCACAACATAGAATCAACCAAAATCTTAGATTATCACAAACTTAGAACAAATCAAATCTAAAAACCAAAATTATAACAAATCAGATCTAAGAATCACCAAATACCACAATTACACTTATTTTCTGAAAACATTCCATAAATACATTATCAAACCAAGAATGTCTCTTGGTTCCCGTCGTTGCCATGCCAACCCATAGAAATAACCTGCACAAAGCACATATATTGACAAGCCCAGAGAAAAAAAAAGAGACAAAAAACATAAATCATTAGCCGAGATCCGCTCCATGGAACTGACGCCAGCCGGACTGGTTTGTGACGCATTTGGCGGCGCGAGATCCCTCACTGGGAGGTCACAATGGTCTATTAACAGAATCTTGTTCGCGAGCTCCAAGAATGAGGTGACAACTACCGCTGTTGTTGGAGTCCGCCGTTCGTGAGAATGTCATTTCTGTCAAATTGCGTTGCAAGGCCGATGGGAGAGAATCGACAGACAGAGTGGAGAGAAGCAAGAAAATCACGATCTCACTTTGCAATCTCTGATTTTTCTCCACAGATTGGTGACGGTGGCAACGAGGGAAGAGAGAGAACTGAAAAAATCAAGATCTCTAATCTTTGGCGACATCGGGGGCGAGTTATCCTCGAAGAGAGAGAAAGACAGAGAGAGAGAGATGTTTGGAGGTGAAATTATGGAGGTGGGAAATAGAGGTTGTGGAGAAAGAGAGAGATTGGGAGAGAGAAGCATCCGGTGAAAAACCTAAAAGGTTGGGTGTATTTGATCAAAAATCAAAATATGCTATAATTTATTAGGTTTAAAAAATATGCTATTTACTTCAAAATTCTATTCAAAAAATGTTATTTAGTGCATTTACCTTTAATGAAATTACTTTTAGGCACAAAACTATTTTTCAAAAATACTCATTATACGCACAGGTTTAAAAAAAATTATTGTCTTTTAAATTTTTTTTTTGAAAATGTCTTTTAAAAATTATTTGTGCCCTACTATTTTTAAAGGAATAGTGAGTCTCACTCTCAAAAAAAAAAAAAGGTACGTGGTTTATTTTTCATTAAAGTTCTTGTTTTTTTATTCAATTTTGGATTTTATTGTTATACTTTTAGTTTTGAAAAAAAAGTCATGTTTATTTTGCTGATTGGAATTTAGAATTTAAATTTTTTTACAGTAAAATGTTCTCATAAATAATCACATTTAATTTTTTTGTTACAGTAAAAAATTTACATAAACTCACATCTCAACTCGAATTAAAAACTCAAATCAACGGAGTAAACGGGTCTGCTTTTAATTCGTAGAAAAGTGTATGATTGTTAATCCGTTTTTACTTTCTTCGGTTTATGGTCGTAAGCATTTCTTTTCCTCCCTTGTTCGTGAGACAGAGAGAGAAAGAAGAGGAGGGGTCAGAGAGAGTCGACGGGGGGAGAGAAGAGGAGAGAGAGGGTGGAGGTCAACATTTCAGTCTTCAGAGTTCGATGAAAAAGATTAGTAAGTGAAAATAAAATCAATACCACTTGATTCTAATTGTATCGATTACAAACTGTAATGAACAAACAAAAGATCCTTTGACAATAGATATGATCATATGAAGGTGTGAAACCATAACCAGATTCAATTCCTGCATTTTCAGCCCAAGAGAAAAACAAAGAAATAACTTCAGAAAGCGGAAAAAGAAAAGAGAAGAAAACGAGCAGAAAGCACAGTAAAGCAGTATAACCATTTAATTTTGACTTTTTTTTTTTTGAAAAATTTAATTATGACATTAAAAAAAAAAGGAAAATGGTTGTAAAAAAAAAAGGAAAATGGTTGTAAAAAAAAAAAAAGAATAAGTTTAGTTGGTGGCGGTGGGTGAAAAAAGAGAAATAATATAATTTAGTTGTAGGGAATTTTTTTAAAAATTTTAATAGGGGTGCAATGTTTAAGAATGAGTGTGCGAAAATATAATCGACAGTTTGAATAGATGCACCTTCAAAATAAATGATTGATTTTTTTAATAGTTAAAAAGTCCTCTTCTTTTTTCTGGGTTTTACAGTGATCAATCACTATTTATCTATTAGACCAGTGTATCATTGACGTATTAATAAGTTATTGACTACATAACTAATAAGTTATTGACTACATTTGTAAATCACTGACTCGTATCGGTCCATTAGTAATAAACCATCAAGTTAATCAATAGTAAATCTATTAGTAATAAACGGTCAAGTGAATCAATGGTAAATCATAAATCATTTCTCTGATTAACCATTTCAAATAATGCTCTTCTTTTTTATCCAAAAAAAAAAAAAAAATTGGGTCATTTATCAAAAGACTTAAAACAACCATTTGAACCCGTTTAATTTGTTGATTCGAGTTTTTAATTTCAGTTGAAATGTGACTTTATGTGAGCTTTTACTGTAACAAAAAAGTTAAATATGACCGTTTCTGAAAACTTTTTACTGTAACAACACCCAAATTGGTGAAATAAACAGGGCCTAAAACTCCCCATTAGTCATATTTGGCCATGCTATAAATTTAACCTGTTTAGATTTATTCAAACTTTTCTCGAGTATTTCGCACGCTCTCAACCTTTGTAAGTGAAACACTCAATAATTCGGAATAGAAAATTACACCCGGCAAAGTTACAACATTATAGCATATCAATTTTGAAAAATAAAAATACAAAAGAATCAGCAGAAAACATCTGTGGACGAAGAAGGCCTTGCCACAGGAAGTGCGTCTGAATTCCAATCCGCAACGCCGCTACAATGACCAACTTTCGCATTAACCACATGTAACTGGCTTGGTTCACCATTGGAGGTATGAGTAAGAGCCAATTTTCTGGTGGCTAGTGCCTTCATTCGGTATCGTTCGGCTCTAGAGCCGATCACCTGTCCCAAGACTGATGCTGCAATTGTAAATGCCATTGCCGATTTTGGCATCAACACAGACTTCCTAAGCATGGCTATGAACGGAACAGCTGCATGGACAGCAGCAAACCAGGACGGTGAGAATTTTTCAGTATGTTCCCTCCATATTCCTAGAGGAACATTGGCTGCCATTCCCAACAAACCAATAACAAGTACTTTTTCCGGCAACGGTTGTGGACGTAGGTTCTTTGCAAATGCAGTCTTTGCTAGAGCTGCTCGGGCGGCGACTATTGTTTGTGGGCACCTAAATTTCATGCCTGGAGGAGGCTGAAAAACCTTTGCCACAAGCGGAAGAACTTTACTAACTGCTTGATATGACTTGGCTATTGGACAATTCCCAGTTTGCAGCCACTCGTTACCCAATGCCTCGTGTTTTGGATCCCCTCCCTGAAAAGACAATTTGATTAATGATCTATAGTTTAATTTTCAGTGAATCTTCACCATTTCGATGTAGATTAAAAAAATAAAAAAACTTGATGGGGAATTTTGAAGTTTGAGATTCAATCATCATGCACCTGTGAAGGCTCTTTCTTGGTTGATTTGGATTTTCTGTTCTGATTCTTCCATTTCTTAGAAAAGGAATCAAAGCTAAATGGCCCACCGGGTCCAAAAGCTGATAAACTGATTGTGGCAGCTCTTGCAGCCAACGGATTAAACTGGGACGGGGTTGGTTGAGGCTCAACTTTCTTGGCAGACACATATGATCTTTCCGTAAGAGGGACTACACCATCATGTCCATGGAAGAGCCTAAATGCCATATCAAAGTTGGGGCCATCTTCAAAAATCGGACCTTTCGCTCCTCTAACCTGGTAAGAATGAATAAACCCGCTACTTCAGTTCACTAAATATAAGCACAATGGGTAATAGTGAAGGCAAAGTGCCATCCCCAGTCACACACGGTTAGATATTCACATTCTAATATTACAATTTAAAGGTAAGTTGCTCAATTTAACTACGAGGTCACATACTGCAGAGGCAGCTTTGGTGCCGTTTCAAGGTTTTGCAGAAATGTATGCTAACGATTTGCGAAAAATAAGAGGAGAACAAAAAGGGTTATTTCTACTGATGGATAATAAGCTAAACCCAGATAAGGTGAGAAGTACAGTAACTTAGAAAATAGTACTAAAAGAAAATGCAAGAATTGAATAACACAACTTACAGGCACTGGAAAAGCCAATGATGAGGAGAACGAAAAGTTGGTAGGCTCATTGATGTTTCTCAAAAATGGACATCTAAGTACATCTTGTTCAGAAGGCAAAGACTCCCGATCTCTGAAAAAAGCGTCCATTGTTTGTCTGATAGAAGTTGACCTGCACAGTAAGAAAAAAAAGTAAGAGAAAATATATCTACAGTGCTCTGAATAAGAATTAAGAAAACCACAAGCATTTAAAAGGAAAAAAATCTCAACTCCTTGAAAGGTTTAAAAGGAGTTATTGGAACAAGCGAAAGGAATAATCAAGAAAAAAACCGAATGGAAATTCTTAAACTATGAATCTCAAGTATTAACATGCCAAACATTTCTATCAAAAAAGAGCTCAGCTTCATATCCAGCACATACCAGATCAAAACCACTTAAGAATTGGGTTCAATAAGCAGTCAAAACCAATCAACAACTTTTCGGATTCGGATTTATGCTAACATCTCTGGAGAAGTACAGTACGTTAAACTAAGAATGACTCAAGAATGGACTCAAGAGATTGAGGAGTTCAATTCCAGAGACCTATGAAAACCCATTTCAGTTTAAATACATAGAAGATAAATGAATTGGAACACTAGGCTGAAGATAAAAATTAATGAATAAATAAATAAAATAAAACACCATTTAGCATAAGTATTTGAGAAGAAAACGAAATAGAGTTGGATAACCACGTTCACAATTCTTGTCAACAGTTTTTAACAATCGATGATTAAAGAAAAAAAAAAAAAAAAAAACCTGCCATATCATACCGTTGACTTAAACAGAACTGAATTGGAAAAAAAAAATCATAACAAGCGTCCACATCTTTAACTCGGAATTTCGAAATTTCAAATTCTACGAAAAGAAAAGGTTTCGAAAATTGAAAAAATCGATGATAAAATTTGGAAGGGATTTGGAACAATCAATTTAACCGGAACAATCAGTATTAAATAAAACATCTTCAAAGAAAATATTATACCATGACATCATTCAAAATTCCAAATAAATTTTCAACTCATTCAATTAACTAAATTGCCTAGAAACTTTCCAATCTGCAGCGCAAAATTGTTGCCGATCGGAAAAAAAAAAGAAACCAAAAGCGACAAATTCCGGGAAGTAAAAGAAGGAAAATACAAGGTTTATACATCGTCGGTCGTACCTTAAAACAGAAATGCGGAGAATCTAAGACAGAGCAATGCAGGAGGGCGGAGGAGCCTAGAGAGAGAAAATGAGAGAGGAGAAAATTCGATGAGTGTTAGGTGAGAACGAAGACGGGAAGGAAAGATGCCTTTTTTTTGTTATTTATTTATTTATTTATTTTTTTCCTGCACATTCCTTTAAAGAAGACAAAAACAAAAACGAAAAAGGAATGGTTATGGAACCATGGAAGCTTACTAGTCAATGAAACGGTGCCGTGCCAAGCACACGCTTCACGCTTGTTGCCTAGTTTGTTAGCTTACCAACTTGGAATTGACTTTACTCTTAAAAAAAAATACTTTAAAAAAAAAAAGAAGTGGGAATTGAATTTCTGACTTTCTTTTTCGCTGTAGTTAGGAGAGACGGTCAACGCTCTTCGCTCATTTTTTTTTTAATATGTAATGAATAATGATATCTTGCGTAATTTATTATTCTATATATATATTTTTTAAAGTTGTTATTCTATATATTGTACTTTTTAAGTTTAGTTATTCTATAGTTGATACTTGATATCTTCGCTGTAGTTGTTATTCTATATTTATTATTCTATATTTTAAGTTTATTGTACTTTTTTAAGTTTATTCTATATATTGTACTATATTTTTTTAACGTAATTAATATTATGAGAATTTATATAGTAGAAACGGTTATTTTATCTTATCAAAACTACTATTTTAAAACGGTTGATATGTAATTATGAGTATTTTTATTCCGTACGCCGTAAATTTTTAATGTGGATACTTATAGACACTAATTTAACAATTAAAATAATAATTTTTATTGATAAGGTATGTTCTCTAGTAGGAGTTTCTTAAAATTATTGACTTGTTCTAAAAGTGTTTAAAAAAATTAAAAATACTTTAAGATTGTCCACCCAAACAAATTCAAAAACAGTTTTTTGATTAAATAAGTCAAAAATAACTTTTTTTTAAGACAATACAAACCGGCCCTACATCTCTAAAGTTTAATTTCATAGCAATTTATACATTCTCCATTTTGACCACTTAAATGGAAATTTTATTATTCGAAGATTATCAATTTATCATAAACTTCTAACACTTTTTACGCATACACCATCATTTTTTTTACTTCTTTTAATTTTTTATTCTGCACGTGTGACAAATATCTTAATTTTTTGTTGTTAATTTTCTTTCTTTACTATACCTTCTCTGATTTTGACCATTTAAATGGCGATCTTACACTTTGAAGATTATCATGAACTTCTAATCATTAAAACAAGCACTTCTTCATGTAACGAGTTATAATCTTTTAACCTTTTCTTTTCCTTTTTGTTATTTTCCTAGTGTAACAAATATTTTAGTTTATTCTTTTCGAAAAATTTACATGGCGTATCATTTAATCCATTATAATCAATTTAATTTTTAAATTTTGAAGTAAAATAATAGAAGAAGAAATCCATTTCTTTTTCTAAAAGGAAATAAAAGAAGGATTCTAATACCACCCTATCCATGCTATTAAAAATAAGGTGACACTCTTCAAAATTTCAGATATCTCCGAGATCTTCAAATTAAAGGAGTTTAGTTCAACTTTCACAAGTAAAAACAAGTCATAACTTGAAGAAAGTAGTTCATCCGGTAGAAACTTGAAAGAAGTTGACTATTGAGTATATAAAAATATAATGGATTCAGGTAACAGCTCTTGATTTCTTTGTTTTGCTCTCTCTCTCTCTCTCTCTCTTCCCCTCCTTTTTTCTTGTAATTTTTTTTTCACCTTTATTTTTCTTTTCAGATTAGTTAAGTTTGCAATTGGGTGGTGTTTGTCATTCGTTGCACTCTGTAGCAAAGGATAGCAAAAGTAATCTTATGGAAAATTTGGGTAATCATCGTATGCCACTGCTTTTGGTTCCCAGTAAAAGAACGAAAGGTCTTACATGGAGTGTATATAGTATCTCGTAAGGCGGATAATATGAGTCACAACACAACAACACGATTTGAAAGCGACATGAATTTTGCGGGTTAAGGTTGAGAAAAAAGAGATTCAGGTAAGAATTGAGTCAGCATGAAATTGACATGAAAAACACGGGTCAATTTCAGATTAGACCCGCCTAATCCGAACACGACACGAAACTCGTAAAACACTAAAAAAATATATTTTTCATTACATATTTTAGTAAGGAGGGGCAACGTGATGCAATAATTCACCTTCCTCCTTTGTTTCCTTTTGAAAAGGAAAATGTAGGTCAAGTTTATAGTAATCGACTCCGATATGATTATGTTATGAAGGTTACAACATTCACTCCAGTTTCAATAACGAATCCAAATGATGTGATATGTATGGTCATATTTGGAGAATTTTCTGCTAAAAACTCTATGTGTACTCATGTTATGGTATGGAACGAGTTGTATTTGATGACGTCATCTATTATAACGATAAATTTTATGCCCTAACTTACGCGGTTAAAGTTGCATCTTTTAACGCTAGTAATTTTGAATCAAATCTAAAGTTAGTTGCAGACGAGATTCTAAGAAGTAATAAAAGAAGATATTTTTGGCTATAAGAAATATCTAGTGGAGTTGTATAGGAGAGAGCTTTAGCAGGTTCAAAGGTACATAGATTGGTGGGCTCCGTATGGCGACTTCAATCCTGTGACAAATAAATTTGAAGTTTTTAAATTGAGCGGTACAAAATAATTATATTTATTTTAAGAAATTATTTCTCTATTTAAATATATAAATAAGTATGTAAATAATTCAACTTATAATTTGAGTTTAACTAATTAAAAATATTTTTTAATGAGAAACAATAAGAATAGTAAGTATTAAAGTAAAAACTTTCAAGCAAAAGGTTGAAGAACAATTTATATATAAGCATGCAACCAAGAAGTTGAAGAACAAAAAATAATATATAATGAGAAACAATATAAATACAATATTTAAAAAAAACCAAATACAAAAGAACAAGCAAGTATTAAAGTAAAATCATGTAAGCAACAGGTTGAAGAACGATTTATATAACAGCATGCAAGTAAGGAGTTGAAGAACACAAAATAAAATACTCATAAACATAATTGAGAAAAAAAATATTTTAAACGGAAAATTTTAGGACGAAGAATTTTATAAGCAACATTGAAATAAAAATTAAAAAAAAAAAACACTCTTTAAAGGGAAAAATGTAGGAAGAAGAATTTTATAAGCAACATGAAAATAACAATTAAAAAAAGAAAAAAGAGAGAAAAAAAAAAAAAAAAGAACAAAAAAAAAGTGCAAAAAAAAAAAAAAGAATAAGAAAAAGAGAATAAATGGAATTTTTTTTTTTTAAAAAAGAAAGCTAGCAAGCAAATAATTGAAGTACAAAATTTCATACCTCAAGATATAGATAAAAAAAGGAAAAAAATAAAAGCGTGAAAACCGAAAAAAATCCTTAAAAAATAGGAAGAAAAAAAGAACAAAAATTTAAAATACAATTAAAGAAAATGAAAAAGAAAAAAAAAACTGAAAAATAAAATTTAAAAAAAGTTTTTAAAAAAGAAAGCTAGCAAGCAAATAATTGAAGTACAAAATTTCATACCTCAAGATATAGATAAAAAAAGGAAAAAAATAAAAGCGTGAAAACCGAAAAAAATCCTTAAAAAATAGGAAGAAAAAAAGAACAAAAATTTAAAATACAATTAAAGAAAATGAAAAAGAAAAAAAAAACTGAAAAATAAAATTTAAAAAAAGTTTTTAAAAAAGAAAGCTAGCAAGCAAATAATTGAAGTACAAAATTTCATACCTCAAGATATAGATAAAAAAAGGAAAAAAATAAAAGCGTGAAAACCGAAAAAAATCCTTAAAAAATAGGAAGAAAAAAAGAACAAAAATTTAAAATACAATTAAAGAAAATGAAAAAGAAAAAAAAAACTGAAAAATAAAATTTAAAAAAAGTTTTTAAAAAAGAAAGCTAGCAAGCAAATAATTGAAGTACAAAATTTCATACCTCAAGATATAGATAAAAAAAGGAAAAAAATAAAAGCGTGAAAACCGAAAAAAATCCTTAAAAAATAGGAAGAAAAAAAGAACAAAAATTTAAAATACAATTAAAGAAAATGAAAAAGAAAAAAAAAACTGAAAAATAAAATTTAAAAAAAGTTTTTAAAAAAGAAAGCTAGCAAGCAAATAATTGAAGTACAAAATTTCATACCTCAAGATATAGATAAAAAAAGGAAAAAAATAAAAGCGTGAAAACCGAAAAAAATCCTTAAAAAATAGGAAGAAAAAAAGAACAAAAATTTAAAATACAATTAAAGAAAATGAAAAAGAAAAAAAAAACTGAAAAATAAAATTTAAAAAAAGTTTTTAAAAAAGAAAGCTAGCAAGCAAATAATTGAAGTACAAAATTTCATACCTCAAGATATAGATAAAAAAAAGGAAAAAAATAAAAGCGTGAAAACCGAAAAAAATCCTTAAAAAATAAGAAGAAAAAAAGAACAAAAATTTAAAATACAATTAAAGAAAATGAAAAAGAAAAAAAAAACTGAAAAATAAAATTTAAAAAAAGTTTTTAAACAAGCAAGTAAAATTAATAAATAAATAAAAAGAAAGCTTGAAAGCAAAAAAAAAAAAAAAAAAAAAAAAAAAAAAAAAAAACAAAGGGGAAAGCAAGCAAACAAAGAGTTGAGCTACCAAAGTTAGAAAGAGGCATCCCCTTTTCTTATATATAGAATGATTTTCTATAGTAGTGATTAAGAGTGGCAATTCAGGTTTGACACAACAAGACAACTCGAGCTTGACCTAAGTGGATGGTATAATTGACATGAAATTGATTTGAAATAACTCAATTTTATCAATTTTTTGTCAAGTAAATTGAACAATAAAAATTTGTTTTTGAATACATCTAACGATATATAAAAGAGTTCTTTTTACGTAGTAGTCTCTCTATTTCTTTTTATTTATTTTTTCTTTTTTATCTTTACTCTTTTGTAAATTTTTTTTTACATTTTAATTTTTGTTGTGTACTTTTTAAAAATAAATTGTTTTTCACTTTAATCCTATGAGAGTAATTTTTCGCATGTGATCCTATTTTATTTTGGATTAGCTAAAATAATTTTCTTCAAATGTATCTCAACTTAATTTTTTTTGTCAATTGTTATCTTTACACACATTCAT